TAATATTTATGTATTTTTCTTCTATGCCTTGGATTTGTAACGTTTGCCAAATGTAGTTATGATTTAGGGAGTCAAACGCCTTGGTATAGTCGACAAATGCCAAGTAGTATCTTTGGTTATATTCATTACACTTCTCTATTATTTGTTTCACAACTTGAATGTGATCGATGGTCGAGTAATCTGAGCGAAAACCTGCTTGTTCCCTTGGTTGGTTATCTTCTAATTTTTTATCTATTCTTCCCAGAATTACTTTGGAAAACACTTTATATAAGTTGGACATTAGCGATATAGGTCTGTAATTGTTGATGTCTCTTTTATCGCCTTTTTTATACAGCAGAGTTATGGTAGATTTTGTCCACTGAGTTGGGATTTGTTCGTTAGCAAGTATTTCATTGAATAGGTCGGTTAGGGGCGTGATGATTGAAGCTATTGTGTCTTTTAGTAGTTCATTTGAAATTTTGTCTTCTCCTGATGCTTTTCCGCTTTTTTGGGTGCGGATTGCTCTGAGAACTTCTGCTTCTAGTATGTGTGGTATATCTTCTTCAATTACATCCTTTTTCTTTTCTTCCGTATTCGTTGTTTTATCCGTTTCCGTGTATAATTGTTTGTAGAACTCTGTCGCTGTTTTTTCAATTGATGACCTTCTTACGGTTAGTCTGCTCTTATAGTTTTTAGGTTTAGTTTTGACTTTCGGTATCCATAATGTATACTCTTTTAGTTGTTTAAGTCCTTTTTTTGTCCCTCCTGTTTTTTCTATTTGTTCTCTTAGTACTTTAATTCTTTCTTCTTTTCTATGTCTTCTTATTGATGTTTGAATCCTTTTACTGATATTTGCTATGTCTTTACGGTTCTCTTTTCGATTGTCTAACATTTTATTTCTCTCTTCCATTAGTTTTATCGTTTCATTTCCTAATTTGTTATTATTATCCTTTTTCGTTCGTAGTTTATTTACACCTATCAGCGAGTTTTCAAGAAAGTCATATTTACTTTGTACCGTTTCATGTATTTCTAAGTTCATTAAGGATTTTTTTAAATCGTTCAGGGCATTATGTGGTATGGGCTGTAAAGTGATATTTTTATTTGGCATGATATGTTTTCTCGAACTCCTATTATCTACAATCATGGCGCCTCTCACCATCCTGTGATCTGTATTGAAATTCAAATTATTTATTACGCTCACATCATAAAATATTTCTTTCTCTCTTGCCAAAATAAAGTCTATTTCGTTTCTGTCTCTGCCATTTGGGGATATCCACGTCCATTTTCTTGACTTTCCTTTCTTGAAAAAGCTATTCATAATCTTTAAGTTTAGTGTAAAAGAAAAGTCAACCAACCGCTGTCCATTGTCGTTTCTTCCACCTCTGCTGTGTACACCGAGAACAAATTCGTCTTCATTTGATTTACTGCCCACCTTTGCATTGAAGTCGCCAACGACTACTAAATTTTTGTTCATTCTTTGTGCTACTTCAGTCAGTTTGTTGTAAAATTTTTCCTTTTCTATCTTGGTATCTTGTTCGCTTGGTGCATAGGCTTGAATAATTGTTAAAGGTGGTTTTGATGGGCTCAGTTTCACATTAAGAGCTATAAGTCTGTCGGATATCCCTTCGAAACTAACTATTTTATCTTTAAGGTATTTTTTTACAATGAATCCTACTCCATACCTTCCTTGCTTTTCTCCTTTGTAGTAAAATATAAAGTCATTATATTCTCTTATTTCTTCTCCAGATCTTCTAACCTCCGAAAGTCCAATAATATCCCATTTTAAATCTTTTATGGCGAATTCTAGTTCTAATAGTCTATGGTCTTCCATTAGCGTTCGTACATTTAGAGTTGCAAGGTATAATAATTTTTTTCTTTTTATGCTTTTTCCTACGAGTATATTTGAATTATTGCTTTTAGGGGGTGGTGGTCTGTCAACCCCACGGGGACCAGCCGGGTTGGGGTTGTTCCGCTTCTGAATGCTGGTGTGTAGTGGCTATTTGTTTTGGTTAGATTTTGTTAATTGTAAGGAGCTAGATCTTGGTCTCATCATATCGAACGCATTCTTTCTGTTTTCTTTTATTGACGAGGTGTTGCTTACTGGTTTCTTTGCGTAGTTTTGATTTTCGGGCGAAGACGACTGATCTCTCTTTCTTTTCTCTGTGTTTAGGTTACCTTCTCTGACTATAATCTTATCGTATTTTATGTAAGCAAAATTACCTTTTGCCCGCTCCTCCTTAACCTTTGCTTGTAATTCTCTTCGCTTTTCTAGTATTTCCTTCGGAAAATCTTCGGTAACGTACATCTGTTTTAAATTCCTTTTTTTCTTTAGTATCTCACTTCTCTTCCAGATGTTGGAGAAAGCAACAAGGACGGGTCGTATTTTGTTTTCCTTCACTGCGCCAATGCGATGAATCTTCGATACATCTTTCGAGTCCAAAATAATATCTAGATCAGTTTTTATAATCTTCTGCACTATTCCCAATAAGTCCAAAGTAGTTTTTTCCTCCTCATCTATCCCGAAAATAATAATATTATTTTTCTTCTTTTCTTTCTCTAGCTGTTCTATTTTTCTTTCTAATACTTCGATTTTACTCTTCATGATTTTATTTTCTTCAATTAAAGGTTCTAACCGTTTATCCATTTTTTCAAATATTGTTTTTGTTTGTTTTTCCATCTCGATTTTCATTTGATCGAAAAGTATTTGGAATTGTCCCTCCATTTCGGGAGTTTTTCGCAGGCAGGCAACCCTATGTCACTTTGATTTAATGACGTTTGACGTTGACGTTTGACGTTGATGTGCTGTCAGTAACGTATTTAATTTGACATTTAGTTGTTGACGTATTATGATGGCGTATGGACGTTTTGAATGTTGTCGCTCGGAAGTTGAGGGCAAACGTCACTGTCTAACATGTGTGACCTTTGACCATGACCTTGAGAGTTGTCGGTTTCTGTGATTGTTTTTAGTGAGTTGTTTCAAATATTTTCGATGTTTATATTTACCAAAGTGTTCGTGGTCGCTTTGTCTTTCCTTTGAACACAATAAACGTATAGATGTCACGAATGTCACTTGATGACCCAAGGTGTTTAGAAAAAAAAATGATGTATCTCTACAGATACACTAACAAGAAAAGAAATTTACTTTCATGTAACAAATGTCGTGCTAGTATAAGTAAGTAGTAGTATAATTGTATTTAATAAAAAAAGGAACTCACTAGTGTTAAAAGGATTACGGAAAAGAAAAGAAAAACAAACTGAGCAAAAAAGAGTACGGAACAAAGTCAAACAAAGTGTAGAAGTTGATAAATTAAAAAAAAAATACTTTCATAGTCGATTTATTGAGACCTTTTTATAAATTATACTTAGAACGCGCACTTCTTAGACTAAACTATCGCACAACTGTTTAGTTGCGCTTTGATTCCTATTAGCTTATATGGAGGTGCGCTCACTACCCGGTTATTAGTTCTTAGTTATTAGTAAACAGTTGAATTGGCTGCGAAACAATCGACAGTCGCACAACAGTTGTGCGATTGTCGTTTGTTACCGATAGGCTACAATGTCACAATTTAACGAACGCATATTCGAAGACGTTTATTAACCAACCTCCAAAAAGTTTTCAATTTATCTAAAAAAAATATTGTTAATCTATATAATTATTACTTTCGCAATGATGTCGAAACCTTGTCATAATAACATACATACGTGTTGGATTGCTTTTAGTGTACCGTAAGATTCTAAGTGGGTAGGAAATTTAATTCCTCGACTGTAAACTCGTGAAAAATAAAAATTACGTAGTAAAAATAAAACATTTCCCCAGGTCCGAGTGTCGAGTCGCATTTGTTTTAAAATTAAATTGTTGAGGAAAACTGTGAGATGGGGGAAATCATTTCATTTCCGACTCGTTGCCAGAACGAATGCTTGTGTAAATGTCGTGTGCAAACATTATATGCTTTTGTTTTAGTCTGTTTTATGCGCATCAAATAAGATTAATTAAATTCTGATAAAATGAAACGTACTAAATGTAAAATGTAGTTTTAATGAACAAATCATAGAGAAAGTGCGTTACATTTTTCCTTTTATCTCACATCTGCTAACGAACGTAAGTCTTCTTTAGTCATTTTTGCATGTATGAAAACAAACTCTTTATTTCTTTTTAGCTCGAAGATGTTTCTCTTATATCATAATTGATTTTCTTACTTCATACTTCAACTTACGTTCGTCTTGATACTTAAGAAGCATGTAACATTGCAGCTTCGTCATTTGAAATATAATAATAAATTACCTTCAGTTAGGCAGTGAGTTCTTGTAATCAGAGCATGAAATGCAGCACCTGACCCAAATGAAACCATACTAACTTATTTAAACTAGGATAAACGAGCGGAGTTGTGGCTCATTTATTAAAAGCGCACACCTTTGACTAAACTGTTGTGCGATTGTCGATTGTTTCGCAGTCAATTCAACTGTTTAGTTGCACAACTAAAAATCGAGTAGTGTGCGCACCTACATATATGGTCATAGGAATCAAAGCGCGATTAAACAATTGTGCGATAGTTTAGTCGAAGGTGTGCGCGTGCTCTATCTTTGCAGTCTTGCTTATTACATTGTGTGTTGTTCTTTTAAATATAGGTGGGATCCTATTTTTAGAATAGCATATTATTTATTTTCAGATTTTCAGCAGTCAATAATTGCACCATTATTGTTATACTTTTTCTTAAAAAATAAACGTGAATATGAAGTGTTTGTGTAAGTGTTTTTGCAGTAAATGCTTACTGTTAATTTGAACGAAAAAAGTATCTGAAAATATGTTTATTGGACAATCGGAGAGACAGTTGAAGTTCTTTTTAAAACTACGCGCCCGCCATCTATAGAGACAATTTTCGAATCTGCTAAAATAAACCCACAATCGTCTTTTGTTTGGACGACGTCGGAAAAAATCTTGTTTCAAATTCGAGACTTATATTCTTTAGTATTGGAAACTATTCGAAATATAACAGTTTGAAAATAAAATACGAATCTTTGTCGATTGTATCTATTTTAAAGCGGTTTTTGAAAGAATTTTGTTTCAACACTTTTTATTCCGATCAATGTCGACGGAGATTTTTAGATGGATAACTGAAATTCTGTGGTGGTGGTGTTTACACCACCTTAAATATCCACGAAAATATCTACATATTTTTGTCATCGTTCCTTAAGGACGAGTCCCTTAGTGATGAGACATCTACACTAAGAGACTAATTAAAACTTTCATTCATTATAAGTGTGTTAGTTATTTTATCTATACTATTATAATAAAGCGTACACACACACTTCTTTGTTGCCTAAGATGTCAGCAATTACAGCATATTTTTGAATAATTCTTTTTTTAATAAAAAGCCCTACACTTACGTCACGCTTAAGGCTAAATATTTTCACGCCGTTAAAGGGGGTAAATGTTTTGGATAAAAACCCTAATGTGGTAAAGAGACCATAAGTTGCTGCCAACATCAAGAAAGCAAGATTGCTAAGGTTTGTCATGTCATTTTGACAAATGTAAACAATAAAATGAAGTTTTAAATTACACGCGGATGAATCCGCACGCGAACAGCTTGTCACTTATCTAAAAGATCATCTTGCAGTCGGAAACGTTATCTAGAAACTTAATCGATTGCCGCAATTGAACTCTCAGCAAACATTGTTAACTTAACAGTTACCTACAAGTTAAGGTTAACACGTTACAGTAGATAATTGTTACACAAACAACGGAAACTCTCTTGTTACTAGAGACTTCTGTAGTCGTTATTTCTTTGTAATTCAAAGTCTTATATTTATAACTGGCATCTGGGACCTAGTTACTTAACCAAATATAGCTTAATAGTAAATTACTCGCGCACGGATCACTTGTTTTTTTTTATAATATAGAGTGGCAAACGAGCTTGCAGTCACCTGAATCCACTGAAATACAAAACAACTGCTGTCCATAAACTTCCGCAATTGCAGAAGCGTTGTGTACCCTTAATTGACGGAGGAGAAGAAAATTATGATAAAAATTATGTTTCGTTTAAAGTGACGCAAATATGATTACGAAATTTGATTTTTGTCAAAATTAGATACAAAATCTCCATTTTTATTAATTCTATTTTGTTTAAGTGTTCTTATTGTAGCAAAAAAAATTCACCAACACAATAATCTGACGTATTCTTCTCTAAACTAGTTCAATAGACTTTTTTAGTTGTTTGTCACACTGGACACTATCATGTTAAGGGTGAAGATAGGTATCTTGGTAGTCCACTAAACCCTGAGTACGACTCTGCTGCAGTTTGTAATTCGAGAATCAAAATTGACGAGGCAAATCGAGTCGTGCATAACTTTCAATATAATTGGCTTGAAAACGCTGTCGAAACTTTGTGACAAGTTTGAAATAACGTGTCACGAAATTACAAAACTTTCCCTTTGATTTAGGTGGACAAATTGTGTGAAAATGTGAAAAAACTTGTATAATTAGTTATTTCGTTAAAACATTTTCTATTGTAATTAACCTTTTTACGTATTTAAGTTAATGATCTATAGATAACTATATTATGCCTTTGACTTCATCTATGCGATATAAAAAAAAATGGAAGGAGTCTATCCAACTTTACATCTATCCAAACAAACTTTCGCATTTATAATATTAATAACAGATAACATAATTTATAACCTATCTGAAACTGTAATAAAGGAATATTTATTTTTATTATTACAAAGATTACTAATCTAAAACGAAAACAGTTTCTAGGTTAACAATTTTAACGTTTATTGCTGACGAGCGAATCAATCTTCGTGCTTTCGGGGGCAGAAAAAAGTATAAAAAAG